GCGTAAATACTTGCAAAGCGGCCGCGGAGGCTCCACCTGGAACTAATAGCGTGAAAGTGGGCGGCGGCCTCGGGAGCCGGTCCTCAGGCCACAGGCGCTGGGTCTCCCCGCCTGAGGCGGCGCAAGACAAAAGTCCCCAGGGCCACCAGGGGGATGCACATGGTGGAGGAGGCCACGAGCAGCCCGATGACGGCCAGCGCGTACGCGGGGTCAATAAAAATATATATTTAAAAGAAAAAGAATAACTGCACGTGATTATGTTTGAGATGTCGGGCAGGGCAGCTGGACGTGGGGGTTGGCCCTTACCCCAGCACAGTCCAGTAGAACTTTCTGGACCAATAGAAATGAGCCATGTCCGACACCAGACACAAGGGGTTACTGAGCACTTGAAGAGGGGCCAGTGAGGCTGTGTGCTGGGCTTTGAGGTACGATGAGCACTGAACTGGGTTTAGCACTGAAACCATAGCTTTGATGCTGCCCTGTTGTGACCAACGACCTGCCCACGCCATGGCAGGAACTCCTTGGTTTCAGAAAACTAAGGCCTGTGCTCTGGAGGCAGCTTGGGGCCCCGGGAGGGCAGGTACCTGGGAGGCGTCCCACGCTTGGTACTGCAGGGTCCCCGTGAGGATGTAGTCGCTCAGGTAGAAGAGCAGGAGGCTGATGATGAGCAGCGGGCTCACGCCAGCCCACATGATCTTCCAGTACCAGCTCAGAGTGCGGCCAGTCATGGCCTGAAGGTCACTTTCAAATCTGCTTGGAAAACGGGGAAGTCTGGATTAGCCACGATGTTGGAGCGAGGGGGAGCCCAGCTTGCACATCCCTGTTCGCTTGGGGAGATTCTGTTGTGGCTCCACTGAGATTTGAACACAAACATGGGGCCGCCCTCCCTGACTCCTTCTGGGGATGGAATGGGGAGAGGGGCTGACACAGAGCGGGGTGCAAAGCGATTACCCGCAGATAAGTGGACATCAGGAGACATCTTTCTGGTGCCGACCTTCAGATGGAGGCTGCTGGCATAGACCAGAGGGCAGCTCCCACCAATGGCAGGAACAGAGAGCCTGGGACAGGGGTCCAACCAGCCTCAATGCCAGGGGACCCCCAGGGCAACTCCTGGCATGGGGTCTGCCAGCGACTCTATACCCCATTACAAACGCCCCAGAGGGGACTCTCTTTTGTCCCCTGAAACCACAGCAGGTTTTCTGGGGCAGATGGAGAGCCAGACTTGGGACTCAAGGGTGATGGCCCAGCGGTTGGAGCCGCCCAGGTGTAGTTGCCCGAAGACTACTACTGTGTTCAATCATGCCTGCAGATTTCCTTTCTTTCCTTTAAATGGACTCTTTTGCCTAAGTTTAGCAATAGCATAACAGCATCCATTCTTTTGTGGGTTTGATAGGCTAATTGTATATTTTTAACGTGCACACAAATACGTATGAAAAGGATCTTCGGCACTTTGGGAAATGCTGACCCAGCCGAAGGGCTTTAAAACCGCTCCGCACGACGGGAGAGGCAGCCTTGAAGGAGGGGTGGGGTTGGGGCGGAGTGAAACTGTCACCAGGTGCAACTACAGCCACTGCCTCACTTCCACCCCTGGCCTGTCTTAAGTTCCCCCATGAGCTTCTAGCTGCCCCTGTGTGGCTGCTGACCTAGCCAGACCTTAGGCTGTAGGCCACGAAGACTCATGTGCATAATGTGAACACTGGGATTTTCAAGACCATACAAGGCAGAAAGTGTTGGGTTCTCTTGTTCCGTTACCTCCCCAGCCCTCCACTTTCCTGGATAGAGAAACGTGGGAAGAGCTGCAGAAAGGCCGCATGGCACTGTTGCAAAGTGGCCACTAGATGGCGCCGTCCCCCGTCCAAGCAGAAAGACTACCCTCTGCTGGTCATTCCCATATCTGGCTGCTTATGAAATCCCCAGGGCACCTTTGGTTTCTCCGTCCAATCGACCATTTACCAACACCCGCTTTAGATGGACTTGTACCCCTCTCCAGCGCCTCCAGTGGGCTCTAGGTTCTGTTCCTTTGGGCATTTCCTAGATGACCAATATGTTCCAGTTTACCCAGGACTTCCCTGGGTTTAGCACTGAAAAAGCCCCAATGTCCCAGGAAACCCTTCTTTCTCGGGAAAACGGGGTGAGTCTAACACTAAAGTCCTCACAGTGTTACTAGCTCTGGGGGAGGAGTACGGGCCGATAAAAAGGCATTCCTTGACCACGAAAGTTTGGAAATACTGCAAATTACAACCCCGTCTTTGAGATTCACAATTGTCTTCAAGGGTCTGGGAAATCCTACAGCAAAGAAATCTGGCTTTAATTTATGTCCTGGAGTTATTTGATCGTGGAAATCCCTCAGAATGGCTTCCAAGGGGCACAGTGGGACACTCGGCACCAGGGGCCTGGCTCCTAGACGGTCCCAGCTGGCCCCCTGACCCACCTCCAGATCAGTTTGGAAGATGATAAAAGCCTGGGGTGGGGAAGACTGGGTACAGTCCTTCTGAGCAGGCTCTCATTCGAGCAGCAGTTCCCAAAACATAATGGGCCTCTACCCCCTGCATGTGCCAAAATGTGGATTTGACCCAGGGGTTTGGGGGCCTGAGACCCTGCATTCTTTTAAAAATATTTGTATTGCTTTCAGAGAGGAAGGGCGAGGGAGAGAGAGAAACCTTACTGATGAGAGTCGCTGATCAGCATCTCCTGCATGCCCCTAACCGAGCCTGCAACCCAGGCATGTGCCCTTGACCAGAATCGAACCTGGGACCCTTCAGCCCACAAGCTGACGCTCTATCCACTGAGCCAAACCAGCTAGGGCGAGATCCTGCATTCTAACAAGCTCCCTGATGCTGCCGATCTGGGACCAGACTCACCTGCAGCTAGAGCCCCACCTGGACCCACCTAATCAGCGCCCTGGGGATGAAGGGGGAGGGGGATGTGAGAACCAGTCCTCAGGGGCTCCAGTGCACGCCCAGGTCTGAAAACTGCTCTAGATCCGTGGTTCTCAGCCCGGCCACACGTCCCAGCACCAGGGCTGCGCTGTGCCAGGGTTGAGAACCATACATCCCAAATCTGCCAGACTTTAAGGTCTGGGTTATCAACTGGACTTTGGTCAGTGAGCTTGAAAAATGCTGGTTTTGGCCTTAGCTGGTTTGGCTCGGTGGATAGAGCGTCAGCCTGCAGACTGAAAGGTCCCGGGTTCGAGTCCAGTCAAGGGCACATGCCCGGGTTGCGGGCTCGATCCCCAGTAGGGGGCACGCAGGAGGCAGCCGATCAATGATTCTCTCTCATCATTGATGTTTCTATCTCTTCCTCTCCCTTCCTCTCTGAAATCAATAAAAATATATGTATAAAAAAATGCTGGTGTCGGCCAAGGGTCAGAACGGCCAGTGCCCGGAGGCAGGGCTGCCGGCCCCTGGAGCCATTGGGATTCACAGGGTCAATGGGCCCAATATCTATAATAATAATGAAAGCATAATATGCTAATTAGACCAGACGCCCTTCGGGGACGAAGCCGGGGCTGGGAGGGAAGACCGGGTCCCGGGTGCCAGAGGGAAGCGGTGCTGGCAGCTGGGGAAAGGAAGGCCTACTCTTGCATAAATTTCATGCATCGGGCCTCTAGTCCTTTAATAAAAAGTAAAAGCACAGGAAATAGGCAAGATAAAGGTTGAAGGCCAGCTGAGGGGGAAGTGAGGCAGAGAATTAGCTGAGATCTGGGGGAAGATTAAAGCCCTGAAAGATGCCAAGCTTAAAGGCGAACACGCGATGCCCGCCGAGAGAGGGCTGTTCCTGTGGGTGAGCTTGCCCAGCAGTTGGTGGGGCGGGTCTCACCTCCGCAGCCCGTACACGTAGCACACGGCGATCGTCTCCACCAGCACGATGAGCAGCAGGGACAGGGTGGCTGCGTAGTCGTTGAAGATGTCGAACCAGTAGTTGCCGGCCTCCAAGGTGAACACCAAGCCCACAGCGCAGTTGAGGAGGCACACCAGACCTGGGCCAAGACACGGCTCACCTGCCTGCACCCAGCCAGGGGACCCGGCTGATGGGCTCATCCATGTGTGTTGGTCTCTCTGAATATGTCTGTGTGTGTGTGTGTGTGTGTGTGTGTGTGTGTGTGTGTGTGTTTGAGGGTGGAGGAAGGTGTCCCAAGGAGCGTCAGCGGGCAGCATTGATGGTAATTCACAGAGCTGTCCTGCAGGGGGCACCAGCTCAATGGAAAAGAGAAGGTTGTAGCATCTCTAGGGGATCTGGCCCAGGCTGTGAATTGGAGCTGGAGATGTGAGCTGCGGGCAACCCTCTGGGGACTTCCTAGAGAGGAGTCATGCCTGACCAGAGGGGTGCGGGCAGAAGGGAAGAGTCGAATGTTTACACAGCTCCCACCACGGCCCAGGCACTTGCCACGCATTGAGCACTTAAGCCCCCACAGGAATCAGGAGCCCCTTTTACAGATGGGGAAGCCAAGGCCCCTCTGCCTCCAGAATCTGGGTTCCTGTCCGGGTCTCCTTCGGCTGCCTCTCTTGGGCTCCCCACCAAGTACTGGCCTAAGCTCCCTCCTGCCCTTCCACTGCTACCCGACGTCACACCAGCCACCGAGCCCCAGCCTGAGGGGTCCCACAGGAGAGGGGGTTCGTGTGGCCAGCAGCTAACAGCACACTGATACGGCTGCAGGTGTGGGGCGGCTGCTCAATGCGGAGGGCACTGACCAAGGGTGGGCAGGACTTCAAAACTCCAAAGTGCCATTATTACCCTTAACAGAGTGTTTTAAAGGAAGAACTCAGCCTGCATTTTCACGGTGCCCTCCCATCTGTTTCTTTCTAACCTTCCGAGACTACAAGATGGTAATTTATGATACTGACCAAGGGTGGGCAGGACTTCAAAGACCTGGGCTGGGAGAAGGGACATTGTGGACGGTGTAACCAAGGGAAGGGCTGGGTGCACAGGGCTGGAGTGGAGCAGAGGGGAGGCGGAGTGACTGGGAGGTCAGGTTCTTCCCTAAAACGCTGCTGTCCACAGAGGGCAGAATGGTAGAGAGATGGGTGTCTGCTCCTACAATGGCTTCTCACAGGGGCAGGAGAGGGACAGCCGATCGCTAATTGTCACAGTGTGGGTGGGCCTCCTAGAGTTTGGTTGTAGACCGCACACAGAGCACATACGTGTGATTTCATGTACACGGAGCCCAACAAAGGGGGAAACAAACATAAAACGGTGGCAGTGAGACCAGAGGGGACTTGACCTGGGTCGGTGGTGGTTACTTGGGCGGATACATACGCCAAGTTCACTGAGTTTGTGCTTAAGGAATGTACACGCCGCAGCGGTTATGCCTCAATTAAACAAGGACAAAGCGGCGTCTCTCCTGGCCTGGGAGCTCGGGGTGCCAGGTTGGGGAGCTTGGCCTTTCCCCCAAGTCGGGGTGGCCACTTCCTGTCCCCCTGGGGTGGAGAGCCAGACGCATGGGGTGATTGACACGTGCCAGGTCCCGACTGCCCAGGGGGAGGAGAAGGTGAAGGCAGGACTCCTGTGAGGTCGCTGGTCCCCCCATCCTCCCTCCCCGAGTCCCGCCTCCTCCTCCCCGCCCGCCGCTCACCGGAGATGGCCTCCTTGGGCAGGTGGCGGGTAATGGCCTTGCTGTCGGTCAGGGGCGTGAGGATGGCGGCCGTGTTGCCCAGCATGCTCCCGATCCCCAGCATCAGCAGCATGAAGAAGTACAGCACCGACCACAGCTGGGACACCTCCATGTTCTTTATGGCCTCGGTGTAGACGATGAAAGCCAGGCCGGTGCCCTGGACGGCCTGCCGCCGGGGACAAGACGCCAGTCACACACCGAGGGACGCACGGCTCCCCGGACACCCCCGACGCTAAGCTGTGGGGGACCTCGGAGCTGGCTCTCCCACCTGCAGGCCAGCGCCCCGTCTGAGCCCCTAATGACAAGTGTTTACAATGGTTCTTTCAGGTGGTGGACCCGTGGGTGCCGGTTATAGGATTCTTTGTACTTTCTGCCTTTTCAACATTTAAAAGGAAGAGGAAACGAGGGCACGGAGCACCCAAAGGAACCAGTGTCCCCGGGCAGCAGCCGGGGGGAGGGTGGCCCGTCCTCCCTTCTCCCGGAAGAGGCGGAGGGAGAAGAATTCCGTCCCCGAGGCCTTGCCAGCGCCTCACCGTGTCCAGCTCCGACTCCAAGCTGCAGTTTTTAATCAGTGGGAACACCTTGCTGTACTGGTCGGGGTAGGTAGACGCCAGGTAGCCCTTCACCTGCTCCAGGTTGCTGGCTGTCAAAAAGCCATCTTCCAGGTCGAAAGAATTGGTCAGCAGCAGAATCACCCTGCGGGCGGAGCAGGAGAGTGACCCCCGCGATCAGAAGGGCCGCTGCCCCCCGCCTCCTCTTTTCTCGTTACGTAAGGTCCTCGCCAGAGGAATCTGTTGATTGCCAACCTTTACTTTATTTAAAAAATATACTTTTATTGATTTCAGAGAGGAGGGGAGAGGGGGAGAGATAGAAACGTCAACGATGAGAGAAAAATCAGTGATCGGCTGCCTCCTGCACGCCCCACACTGGGGATTGAGCCCACAATCCGGGAATCGAACCCTGACCTCCTGGTTCATAGGTGGACGCTCAACCCTAAGCCATGTTGACCGGGCCATTGCTGACCTTTTAAAGGGCAAGGTATTTAGAGGGGCTCTGAAGAAGCCTCGAGTAGGAACAGTGGTGACAAGAGGGACCAACCGCACAGCGGGCTCTGTGACAGCTGTCCGGCTCTGTCCGGCCGAACGTCTGTGATGGGAAATGTCCCAGGTCCGTGCCGTCCACTGTGGCCCCCAGGAGCCACATGCGGCCCTGAGGAATTGATTTAAATCAGTGGTTCTCAACCTTCTGGCCCTTTAAATACAGTTTCACATGTCGTGACCCAACCATAAAATTATTTTCGTTGCTACTTCATAACTGTAATATTGCTACTGTTATGAATCGTCATGTAAATATCTGATATGCAGGATGGTCTTAGGCGACCCCTGTGAAAGGGTCGTTCGACCGCTAAAGGGGTCGTGATCCACAGGTTGAGAATCGCTGGTTTAAATCAAAATCTACATCCGTTTAAGGAAACGTTAAATTGACATTTAACCTTGTCAGGAGCCCCTTGCAGCTAGTGACACGCTGTTGGACAGGGTGCCTGCGGGTATTTCTCGAATTTGGGAAAGATCACAAAGAGCAGCTTCTGGAATCTCCACGGCTCAGCCAGGGAGCTCTCGGCTGCTTCTGGGGCCGAAGAAATGAAGGCTGGGGATGCCCTGCGTGCTGAGGGCTCTGAGTACATGGTGCCCCTCCCTTCGGGCACACGCTGACTCGGCACAGGCCTCCAGCTGCTGCTGCCAGTGGGCAAAGCCTGCATTCGACACTGGATCGAGGACTGCAAGGCGGGTGCCCTGTGCCCCACACCCCTGGGTGCCTGGCGTCCGCCTCTCCCCAGTGCCCCTTCCGCTCGAGCTTTGGAGACTCGCCTGCCCCTCGCGGCCCGGCTCCCCGGACGGCTCCCCGGACGGCTCCCCGGACGGCCCAGCTTACCTGTTCAAGCAGCTCTCGTAGTTGAAGGTGGCCTTGAAGCCGTAGATGGAGAAGGTCACGACGCTGGCGAATATGGAGGTGGAGCTGTTGATGAGGGACACGATGATGGCATGCTTCTGGCAGTTGTTGGAGGGCTCGTTGTAGCTGGCGAAGGCGATCAGGCTGCCAAACCCCAGGCCGAGCGAGAAGAAGATCTGGGTGGCTGCATTGATCCAGGCCTTGGGGTTGGCCAGCTGCTCCAGCTGGAAGCCAGCGGGGACAGGGTTGTAAGCCCAAGGGGGTGGGGAGGACCCCAACCTCTCAGGCAGGGGAGGGAGGGTAGCCCTGGGGGACCCTGCCTGGCACAGCCTTAGCAGATGAAACATCCCTCCTGCCATGTCCCCACAGCTCCTTCCCCAGGGGAGGTGTGCAGTGGGAAGTGTGGGGTGAAATCATTTCAAAAGGAACCAGGCCCCCGATGCCTGAGCTGGGCACTGCAGGGGCCTGGGCCTCCCGAGATGGAGGTGGGGGGGGGTGCCTGGTGGTGAGGCCGAGGTCTGGGTTGAACCCCGGTGATGTGGCAGCGGGGGGGCTCTCGGGGGGGCTGCCACTACAGCCATTTGTTTCCAGGGGCCATTTTTGCTAAATGAAGAACCCGTCCTGTCCCCAAGGCAACCGTGACGAAGACTGGCTGTGGGGAGCCTGGGGAGGGACCCCGAAACCCCTGCCGAGAGTGGATTTGCCCCGAAGGGAAACCGAGATGATGCTCAGGGCAGATAACTTAGTCCACAGGCTGGAGGGCGGGGCTGGGGTGAGGCGGGGCCAGGAGGCCAGACGTGGGGCAGCCGTCGGAGGGGGGCAGTGAGGACGAGGATGGGAGTGGACAGAAGACCCAATGCCCAGAAGTCACAGGGCTTGGGGACTGCCTGGCTGAGGGTGACTCAGCACCCAAAGGTCATCCATCCCCACCCATGGCCTGGGGGCTCCCACCAGCCTCCTGGGTTCAGGACAGCTTTCTCCACCCTCCCTCTTGCCCTCTCCGCCCGCTGGAAGGGGCAGGAAGATGGGGCACCTCAGGCCCCGTCCCTCCGGCTCGTACCTTGGGGGTGAACATGTACAGCAGCCCGTTGGTGGCCCCGTGGAGCGTGAGGCCCCTGATCAGGTAGATGATGAGCACGCAGTAGGGCATCGACGCGGTGAAATACACCACCTGCGGGCACCAGAGGGCAGAGTCAGGCTCCGGGAGATGTGGCCAGACCCTCAGCAGGCCCGTTGCCTACAGCAGACCCTCTGTCCCCGGAAACACCATGCTGTCTGGGCTCAGGCTGCGGACAGCAGGGAAGGCATGGGGTCTCGTCAGGTCCTGAGTCTGGTTGGGAGACGGGTGGTAGGACGTGGTCGCCAGGCCCGTAAGTGCCAGGAAATCCCTGGTTCCACAGGGAAGAGGAACGCAGAGCAGAGGCCGGCCCTCCACCTCCCTTCCACCTGGTCCCAGGAAGGACTGGGGCCGCCCTCAAGCACGTCCATCACAGGAGCGTGTGGGCACTTCAACACCCCCGCGCTCAGGCTGCCCCTCGCTGATCACCAGAACCTTCGGGGGTGACTGGGACGGCAGAGGGGCCAAAGCTCTCAGGCGGTGCCCGTGGGAGGCCTGAGAGCAGGGCAGGTGTCTCTGGGAAATCTTCAACCATCTAGGGTTTTAAAGGAGGGAAAACTCCCTGTCTGGTTGCTTGGTGCTACTGGGCAGTGTGGCTGTGGGGCTGGCCGGCCCAGAAATGCCCGTCTTTTGGGGGGCGGGAAAGGCCTGGTTTTGAGATTGAGGGCTGCACCTCTGACCACCTTTATAGTTACCTGGCAAGTGGCTTGTGCCAGCGCACCGCCCGCCTGCCTCCCCCAGTGGACTCGGTGCCCCGCAGGATGCACAGGTAGACGACGAGCCAGGCCAGGAGGAGGCAGAGCGCGGGCTCCCACTGCAGGCTGCCGCTGTCCTGGATGGACGGCGAGATGTTGAGGGTCTTCCGGTACCAGAAGTACTTGGTGGAGGAGGCCTGCTCACACTCCGCGTCGTAGCCTGTGTGGTTGGCGTTCAGTGGGCAGACGGACCACGGCAGGGGGTCCTGGGGTCAACACAGCATCGCACAGAGAGGTGAGGGCTGAGGCCGAAGGTCCGGGGGAGGGCGGGAGGTGGGCCTCACACCAGGCTTTTGGAGGAGAAGGGAGCTGTTCCCCAAGGGCAGGTGGTGGGAGCCCCGAAGGCAGCCAGGGAGTCAGAGGTTTTGTCGAGGGCATAGATGAGGTAGGGAGTAGGGGGAGGCAGGGAGGGGGTGTGCGAGGGGCTCCACACGCCTTACAGTCCTAACTCTACCGTGGGTCAGAGAGACTGAATACACAAACGGACAAGGGCCAGACTCCCTATGACAACAGAACTCGGCCCCGCAGTCCAGCTGGTGTGGCTCAGTGGTTGAGCATCAACCTATGAACCAGGAGGTGATGGTTCGATTCCCGGTCAAGGGCACATGCCGGGGTTTCAAGCTCAGTCCCCAGAAGGGGGCGTGCAGGAGGCAGCTGATCAGTGATTCTCTCTCATCATTGATGTTTCTGTCTCTCCCTCTCCCCTCTCCTCTCCTATCAATAAAAATATATTTTTTAAAAAAGTGCTGTGGGAGGAGAGGGGTGGGAGGCCTGGGGGTTCTTTGAGAGCATGAGGAAGAAGGGTCTGTGCAGAGGCGGCTGGAAACCCGGCAGCTCCGGGCCAGGAGGTGTGCGGGGCTCCCCGAGACCAGGGCCTGCGGGCACTGCTAAGGGTTAGCCTCGCCCCGCTTCTCTCCCGGCTCCTGGGACAGGAGGAGTGGCATTTCTTGGAGCCCTGAGTGCCAGCTGCTGTGCTAAGAGCTGTATGCGCCGTGGGCGTCATCATCCCCTCACAGAGGAGAAAACCGGGCTCAGAGCTCGCCTGGGACCCGGGCTGGGAAGAGGCAGACACTGTGGTCGCCCCCTCCTGGCTCACCCGTCAGGTCACCTGGGGTGGCAGGGAGCAGGGGTGTGGGGAGGTGTGTCGGGTGCAGGGGTCCCGGGGTGGGAGTGGGAGAGGACAGCAGGGCAGAGGGATGTCTGACAACCAGCGGTGTCTGCAGGCGCTGCCCCGTGTGCGCCTCTGCCCAGCCCCTGGCTCCGGGGCATCTCATTGGGAGTTTGAAACTGGCCGTGGTGTTGTGTTCACACCACACGCAGCACCCCACCTGAGAGCCGGTGGTTAAACATTCACCAGCCCCCCGTTTGGCACAAACGTCTGGCCTCTTTTCTAGAAGCAGCAGATGATGCCTCGGAGAAGCCCTCTGGGATGGCTCACCCAGGCGGACTGTCAAACCACACGCCTCCGTGCTAAACATTAACAGCCACGCACGGTGGGAGGCAGTTAGGGTTTGAAGATGACTTGTGAGGGCACTGGGCACATGTCTCCTGCGCCAGAGAGAGTCACGGACAAGTTTACGCCCTCCTTGCCCCTGGGATGTCACTCTAGCATCCTGTCTGGGGCGGGATCGTTGGCAGAACAGAGCGTGGGCATCGCTGGTCAAAGGTCCTCCTGCTGGCAGAGGCAGCCCAGGAGCGGGAGGGTGTGAAGGCAGGTTAACCATCTCCCCAGGGTGCCCAGGACCCGGGCTCAGGTGGCTCAGGGCGGACAGGCAGTCGGGCAGCAGGCGCGCCCAGCTTCCGTCCACCCGAGATGTTGATGACCGCCCTACAGCCTCTCAGTGGTGGGAAGAAGATTCAATGGGCTGATGTGTGGCATGTGCTCTACAGGCCAGCACCTGGCACACGCAGTGCTCGCTGAGAGCAGGTGCCATTCACGGCCAGCAGGGGGCAGCGCCAGGTGGTTGTTAGTAGGACACTGAGGCACAGCCCCAGCTCGCAGCTGTTTCCTCTTTACAGACCAGCAACCTGCGGTCCAGAGAAGCCATGCAGTCGCAGGTCCCCACCTCCTGGGGACGGGGAGCCAGCCCTGCTCAGCCATGTTCTGTGGCAGTCAGTCCCTCCTGGGCCGTCTGTCCACCCCACTCAAGGGCTCTCTCTTGGGCCTTGTGCTTACCCTTTGCTCCCACCCGCACCAGGGCTGCCCAGGACACAGGGAGGGGGCATCACCTACCAACACCGCTCAGGTAGGGGCTGATGGTCCTCCAGGCGCCGATGCTGCCCTGGCGCATGCGCTGTCCGACCGCTAGTTCCAGGTACAGGAGCGGCATCCCCTCCACGATGAGCATGATGAGGTAGGGCACCAGGAAGCTCCCTGTGGGCGTCCAGGGCCAACAGCCAGGTCACCAATGGGTTGTACTCCGCAACCACCCGACCTCCCTGCCAACAACCAACCTTCCTACCTTCCTTCCTTCTTTCCTTCCTTCCTTCCTTCCTTCCTTCCTTCCTCCCTCCCTCCCTCTCTCTCTCCCTCCCTCCTTCCTCCTTCCCATTCTCCCTCCCATCTCTCCATTTGCCCATTCATCCTTCTGTCTTTCCACACTCATCCTCCACCTTCTGCCTTCACACTCTTCCACCTGTCATTCCTCTCATCTATCCATCATCCATCACCCATCCATCCATCCACCCATCCATCCATCTCTCTTCAGCCATCTATCCTTGGATGATGACACCCAGCCATGCCAGTGAAAATCTTTGTGGCATATACGGATCCTTCCACGTTACTTTACCAAGAATGTTGGAACTCTGGGTCTGTGAGACAGTTCACAGCAGGGAGGGTACGACCCAAACGTTGGCTTTCCTACCTGCCTCCTCTAAATCCATATGGTTTATCTGAAGATTCCTTAAAACTCACAACAAAGGCTCCAACTCATGTGTTTGCTAGTGGGTTTTTTCTCTCGCCTTGGTGGTGAGAGCTCAGTGTAGCGCTGTTGCGCCCTGGGAAATCTGAAATCGTCATCTTTAAAGTAGCTGGGCTGACGTTGTAGCTCATATTAACACTGATTGGAATTATTTTACTCACTCGTCTTTAAGGTGGAAATGTAGTTTCATCAGTTCGATTATATTTCAAATGAGGAATGCAAGTGGTCTTTAAGAAAAGTGTATGGGTTATTTTGTGTGTTTTTTTTAGGTTTTGTGTGTGTGTGTGTGTGTGTGTTCTCATCTGAAAGAAGATAAAATGTTTGAAATCCAAGTATGATGTGGGAGGCAGTCAGACAGACCTGAGCAGAGCAAGGACGATGGGCCAGGTGCAGAGGCCACAGGGTGGAACGCCCCGGGTGCCTAGCAATGGGTGAAACTGGGGACACAGGAATCTCTCCCGCAGGGTTAACTCTCCTTCCCTAGCATATCGCTGGCTGGCATGGTCTCGACCTCCTGACCTTTCCTCCCCAGAGATAACAGCTAGGCCTCCGTTGTATTTCAGCTCCGGGCCCAGAGGCCCAGCTGCAATGACGAAGGACTCCCTCCCCCTGAGCGGACCAGTCAGCGGAGACCCGGAGATCCGAGGACACACTTGGAAAGCTGATGAGTATTCTATTGAGGTCCACCTCTGGGACCTCCCCTAAAATCCCCGCCCTAAAGGCACTTAGGATGGAGGACCGGAGCGCTCTCCCGCCCCAGCGCACCAGCGCCTCCCACTCCTCACCTCCCCGCCTCCCCACCTCCCCACCTTTGCCTTCCTCTCTCCTAAGCCCAACGACCCTTTTGCTTCTGTAACTTGTTTCCTGAGCCCATGTCTTCTACCTTTACTTCTTCTACCTCTGTGACCTTCTACATAAACTTTCTCTTAGAGTTTGAGTCTTGGCTCTGAATTCTTTCCTGGCCAGAACTCAAGTACTGAGGTTGCTGAGCCCAGGTCCGGTCTGACCCTGAGGGCCTAACACCTGGTGCCATTCTCGCCACCAGCACAGGGACAATAGTTCTTACTGCTACAAGGTATAATAGGTATTACTCACGAATTTGATAGGTTCCCAATTTTCATGTAGTGCTGGCTCCACTTCCAGTGAAAGTACAAGTATGTTGTAGCACCAAGCGGCTAAATCGCCTAATCACGTGTTTGTGTAAAAAGGGACTTGCCAAGATTTGTTTGACTGCTGAATCTCCAACATCCAGACTCTTAAGGAGAACACCTCTTAAAGGGCCTGTAAACTACGCATGATGGACGTTCTGTGTTGCATTAAGGAATGGCCATTGGCTTACTCACCACATCTATGGTGCTGTGGCTATAAATACAGTCGCTTACAAACAATAAAATCCCTATTCCGTCCTCTACTGTGGTGACTAATGGTTAGTCAGGGCCGGCCACACAGAGTTGCTAAATATTTTGCACATCATCCCCGAGTCCTCCCACCCAGCTGCCCCACCTTCACATATCGCTTTCGGCGTTTTGCAGCCCCGATGTGCCCGCCAGGAAGGGTGTGTGGAACAATTGTTTCACTTTCTCCAGGCCAGACCTGGAGCTGGGTGTGGGATGGATAGGAGATGAGCCGCCCTGCTCCCTCGCCTGGACAGAGGAAGGTCAGCTGCCTCTTCTTGGTCCAGCTCACAAGCTAGTCCTCCAGCCTCACATCTTCAGAGATAAGGCAGGGGCTTGTGGTGTCTGTGGGGAGACCAGGGGGTCCCCAATAGACAGAGCCTAGGCTACCACGTCCTTTTAGAGAGCACCTCTATGTGTGTGTTTTATACTGGGGCCTTCAGCCTAAAATTTCATCTTAAAAAAATGTTTTATTGATTCTAGAGAGAGAGGAAGGGAGAAGGATAGATAGAAACATCCATCGGCTGCCTCCTGCACGCTCCACACTGGAGATCGAGCCTGCAACCTGGGCATGTGCCCTGACCAGGAATCCAACTGGTGACCTCTTGGTTCACAGGTCAACGCTCAACCACTGAGGCATACCAGCTGAGCCTAAAATTTCATTTTAATGAAACTGACTAATACTAAATTTTACACCCACTGATTCCCCAGGAGCCATCTGTAGACAAGCACCCTTGGTGATAGTGGGGAGCCAGCGAAAGGAGCCACGGATGCCCCCCCACTGCCCCACACGTGGACAGCGGCAGGCAGCCTGTGTGTGGGGGTCACCACATCGGACACCATCCCCCATTCCAGGCAGATGCTTGACCCACTGCTTCTCCTGTTGGTCCCACCTCTCCTTCTCCGCAGCCCTTCAGCCGTGGCCATTCCTCCCCCAGGTCCATGGCTGTGAACTTGAGAAAAAGGTCCAGTGGGAAAGAGGGCAGGATCTGAATAATAAAAACCCTGACTCTACAGTGCAGGGATTAAGGTCTGGTTACAAAGGAACAGGCTCTGAAAGTTCAAGGGGAACAACGAAATTCACACATGCTTACATAAGCAGCTAACACAAAAACGCCGCCACTGCGGGTGTGTGCTGCCCTATAACCCCTGGGGTCTCCCAGGCCCTCTCCCGACACACCATGCACCTCTGCGTCACCCCATTAGTAGCTGCAACATTCCACTAGGAAAATGGGTCCAGAATTCATTTCATCGGTCCTTGGGCACTTGGCCTGTGGCCAGGTTTCTGCCACCCGATCCCAGCCGCGGCGCAGAGCCTGGCCCACGTGTGCGGTTATTTCCTCGGGTATAAACCCCAGAGTAGATGGCAGTGAACACGACCGGGCAGAGCCCGGTGGCTCTCTCACTGCAGAGACCTCGGGGTTCCCCTGTTCCTCTGGGGCCTAGAACAAACCCTGCCCTCTCACTTCTGGGCCCTGAAGACACGCGGGCCGCTCCCCTCCTGCCCTGCAGAAAGGCATCTCAGCACCGTTCCAGGCTTCTCTCGCCAGCAAGGAGTCCATCAGGGGCCCACCCAGGTCATCCCGACAATAAGGTGGTGTTGACACACCTGCCTGGAGTAATATCCAGACTCTCCGTGGTTACAGGAAAAGCTCAAGGTGTTAAACAGTCACAGCAAGGTGCAGGAAAGCTTGTCCCTGCGACAGGGCCAGTCCCATGGCCCTCTGCCTGTGGAGGTGGGCAGTCTCAGGCCTGGTGCCCAGGCAGGAGCGTGGGGCTCCATTATCCTGCCCCACAAGTATCCAAACACACAACTAGAACAATATGCAGAGAAAACAAACTTCAATATCTCAGACTGTATACCCAAAACCCACCCCTCAAAATGCATCATCTATATGTATAAAAGCCTAATATGCAAAGTGTCCCCTCGGGAGTTCAACCGGAAGACCGGAAGTTGGATTGCTCACTATGACATGCACTGACCACCGGGGGAGGTGCGGAATGAAGGAAGGCCCTGGCCAGCAGCTGGAAGGACCGGATCGGCCCTGATTGCCGGCCAGCCCTAGGGGCCCTACCTGTGCACAAATTTCATGCACAGTGCCTCTAGTGGGCCTATATGTATAACTCAAGACTTTTAAAAATTTCTAGAAGAAAACATGCAAGAAAATCTTTCTGATCTAGAGATGACACCGAAAGCATTACCTGTGAAAGAAAATATTGACAAACGGGACATCCTTTTAATTCTGCTCCATGAAAGACAGTGTTAGGAGAATAAAAAGACAAGCCACAGACTGGGAGAAAATGTTTGCAAAACACATATCTGATAACGACTTTGTATCTAGAACATATAAGGGACTCTCAAAACTCAATAATGAGAGAAAAAAGGAACCATGTACAAAAAAAAATTGAGCAGACATTTTACCAAAGAAAATATATCAATGGCAAATTAGCAGTGAAAAGATGCTCAACATTAGCGTTCACTAAGACGATGCAAATTCAAACCCCAGTGAGATGCCACTGCACACGTGTTAGAGTGGCTCAACTCGAAGATGCTGGGGGCCCTTCCCGTGCTGGACGGGATGCTGTCGGATTCACGAGCCACTTAGTAAAGCCAATACCAAGTGCCTGGAGGATTTGAGAACTCCCATAGTTGCCAGGGAAATGGAAACTGCTGTAGCCTCTCTGGGAAGCAGTTTGGCAGTTTCTTGTAACTTAGCATACACTTTCTGTAGGACCCCACAATGCCAGTCCTGGGGTTAACTCTAGAGAAATGAACACTCACACTCACACAAACCCCTATACACGATGTTGATAGCAGCTCTAGTCACAGTTGTGGGAAACTGGAAACAACCTAATTATCCTTCTATGGGTGAACGGGCGATACACGCCACACATCCACACATGGGAGATGTAACTACTCAGCGACAAAAAGGAACACACCACTGCTGCTCCCAACAGCCCGGGAGCAGCTCAGAGAAGCATTATGCTAAGTGACAGCCGCCAGAATCCAGGCTACACGCCGTGTGATTCTATGTCTGTGACATTCCGGAGAAAGCAACCCCTTGGGGACAGAAAACAGATCTGAGGTTGCGGGGGAGCAGGGCGTGGGGTGGGATTGACTGTAAAGGGCACGACTGTGGCGACGGTAACACAACCATCGCATTTGTCAGCACTCGCAGAACTGGACACCAGAAAACCCCAAAATTTTCTGCATATAAATACATGTCAATAAAAGAGAAATTGGTTTTGCAGTCCGTTTGAAAACAAGTCCTCTAACCCACCCTTTTCTCAGGGGACTGTTCCCCAGGCTCCTGCATGTGAAAGTCTGGACATGGGCTCTGCTCGAGGGGACCCTGGCGTCAGGGAGAGGCGGACAGAGGCCTGAGAAGGCGCCTTTGCTCCCACGTGCCCTGGGGGCACATGTCGTGGTCGATTACACGCAGCCACATTCTGTGCAGCTGCTCCCGCGTGGAGTGGAGTCCACGTCCCACCCGTGAATCTGGCTGGCCTTGGACCTGCCTTGTCGAATGGGATGTGGGGAGAAGGAGCCTTCATTCTCTTGGAACTC